TACGCTGAAAACGAAAACTCGACATCAACTGACGTCATTGGATAAAATTAAAAATTTGGGCAGTCAGTTCAGTCAGCCACTGCGCTCGCACCCTACAAGTCTTCGTCACCTAGGTCCTTATACGTTCCTCTCGCTACTAAACGAAATATGCACGATTGGGAAAAAAGGCTAAAATATGCATTAACGCCGTAATTAAGACAGTTATATGCTTTTACATATACAAATGCATAAAATCCAATGTCTACACATTACAATTCTACAGCAACAGACTCGGTTCAGGAGCTGCATAAAACCTCGGAGCCACCTATCCTGGTTACTAAGACTGCCGCCAAAAATGGACTAGAGTTATTGTCTCCACGGAACAAGTATTTGTATAGCCTATTTGTAATGCCTGGTTTGGATGGGTGGCTTGTGCAATTTATGTGTGTAAACTGTCTCCAGGATACAGGAGAAATAGTGTGAAGGTACCTTATTTTGAAAAATTATACGTTTATTTCTTTGTTATTTAAAAACTTAAAGAATTGATTGAAAAATTATTAAGCACTTAACCGTAGAATAAAATTGGTTTGGAGACGATATAATATTTTATTCACGTGGAATGTGAGAAGAAAACAATGTACGAACACTCATATAGGCATATTTATAAAACAGTAGAATTGGACTATATGAATCTTACATTTATTAAAGACATTTAAAGGACTTTTACAATAACTAAACAGGAAGTAAAAAAAACAGTAAAGAAAAGATACAAAATATTTTATAAAATCGAGTTAACGAAATTATAAGAAGTAAAATGAGCACGTCACAAAGAATTTCGGTATATCATTTTAACATTACAACAACATATAGCGTCATCCCATGACTCAAGCTTTATCACAATGAGTAAACAAGGAATATTTTCCTTGAGATAACGACCTAACAAAGTTAGGACGCAATATTCGGACACCTGTTTTATTAAATAACGTGAATATCTGTTTTTTTTTTCTTGTGACTTACACATTAAGTTACGCCACCTGTATCTTACAAGATCATGTCTTACAAGGTCGTCACTCCATCTTATCTCAGCAGACAGCTTAGTGACTTAGTGACATCAGCAGTGGACTTGTGAGGGGCTGTAATGATGATTATGCAAGTATCTAACGTATTACCAACACATATTTCTACGAAATAAAAATAATTTGCAAGACTATTTAAAAACGTATGGGTTAAATACAGACACTATCATGTCTTTAATGGAATCATCATTGACGCCCATGCACACCTGTAGCCAACATCAAAAGAAAAGAGAAAAGGAACACTCTTTGTATGTGTATAGAAAAATTCCCTCGATTTTCACCACGTTTTGATTAAATCGCTTTCGTGTATGTATGTCTATTCGCTTCGACTTGTTGATGAGACTTAAAATTTTGAACATAACTCGGAATCGAATGACAATGTAAGAATACGAAAAAAATGGGGTAGGTATATTAAAAAAAAATTAATACATCATATTTAAAAAAAACTCTTTTTAGAACACCAACAAATAAGGCCACTGGTGCTTTGTCACTTCCTGGGGATAAGAATCTGAAAAGATGAAATACCTCACAGCCTGTGATTACACTAACTGAACTCAGTCTTTTATTATTTATAACGGGCCACTGTTAAAGTATAACGTTATTAAAAAACAGTTAATCAAATTTTCTACCGAATTCAAAAAGGAGACGGTACTCAATTAGACTTTGATTTTTTTGTGTGTTACCTTATAACCTTTTTCTGGGTGAGCCGATTTCGATGATTCTTTTTTTTATTTGAAAACTGGTGCTTCTCATGTGGTCCCATATAAATTTGATCAACGTTTGACCAATAGTTTTTGAGTTATTCTTAATAATTTATATTGAAGTCGGTTGTACAAATTTATTTATTTTTAATTATAAACAATACATTCGTTAAAAATGACAACGTTTTTATCTCAACAAAATGCACAACACGTCAGAGATTTTTATTCAATAACGAATTGTTACCTACTCAGCGGCTTTCTGCGACTACACAGCGGCCTACTAAGTATACATTGCGGCTTTCTGCGACTACACAGCGGCCTACTAAGTATATATGGCGGCTTTCTGCGACTACACAGCGGCCTACTAAGTATACATTTTTATAAAATAAAATGAGTTAATTTCCGAAATATGTTTACGTAAACTGTGAGTAGGCCGTCAGTAGTTCCGTATAATGACGGTGTACGAGTATTCATATATAGCAGGATGTTAAAAAGACAGTGGGTATCCACTACCCCATAATACAGTCCCGTGGTGTCAAAGTGGTAAGAGGCGACAAATGGAAACTAGAACAGGAAATGGGTAGCAGCATTTTCCTGATAACTCAAAATTATAAAACCCCGCCTGCCAGGCGAAGCAACCATGACAAATATTATGACTCATGGACTCATGAGGCTATCTATCAGGAGGACTGTGTTCACCACTGGACTGTAATACATAAATGGATGCAAACTGTGAGCAGTCATTTTCAAATCGTTGAGTTTAATCTTGATCGACGAAAAGGGTCTTATATTGTGACAAATGTATAGACAATAGCTTTCGTAGATTTCGATCAGCTTGAATAAACACGAAAGCGTAATCAAGGATGCTATTAATACCTACATTATTTTTTATATACTTATACCTATATGAATATTATTTGAAACCGTCCAAGCATTAACACAAATTATACATATTTTAGATCGTACACTCGTATTGCATTATACTGCAAGGTGATTTTATCGCGTTGATTGTATCTGAGCGATTAAACAGTAAACTACAGACTTACCTTGTTTCGCAGCCTTCGATGACGTCACCCGGCGGATGTTGTAGAAATCTTATTTATAACTAAGCAAACCCTTCATAACTTCTTACTTAGACATAGTTCAGAAGAGAATACTTCAAGAATTGCAGGTCCCGAATTCGAATTTCAGCCGGACCAGTCATTAGAAGAAAAATTGCAGAGGTGGTGATTGCCTCTCAACTATACTTTTGATCATATATACCTCGTGCTTAATATGCACAAGTAGATTAATAGTGAGTACGTAACAGTTGTGGCACTATAATATGGACCTGCGCAGTAGAAATCTTTCGACAGACATTTAAATCTACTAGACAAGACTTAGATATTCTAGAAAATTGCCAAAAATTAAATATTATTTTCAGCAAAAGCGGTACGATTGTGTAACTCTGTTAGGAATAACAATAATAAAATTTATAAAAAAAAACTGAATTAGTATTTAATTCATTGATGTCCTGATTTCTGAACTAGGATAGTTTGGTTGTCAGGAGGCAGTCAAGGTGAGAGCGGGAGGGAGTCCCGCTGAATCACCTTGTTTTCCGTGTACAATACAGACTAACTATAGTATTACAAAGAGGAAGGTTAAAAGTAATGTGAGCCGATGAAAATCACTCCATAACAGTGTTGTTTATTTTTATTGTAATTATATTTTAAAAGTAAAATTAGATATTATTATAAAAACGACTAAATCTCGTTACGAATGTGTCGGCTCGACCGTGGAAAAACCACGCTCTCACAGAATACCAGTGTAAAATAGCAGCTTAATGCTGCTGTGTTTCATATGGTGAGCGTAGAGAACCGGATACCCTGTATACTAGAAATGAGGCATACCATCTAAGTTCTCAGGGGTGATAACGCAACTGAATTTTGAATTCTTAATCGAAGACATGTATATTATATCTATGAGCCACAGCATCCACTTACCATCAAGTTGACTGTGTGCTCATTTGTCACCCTTATTCTACAAAAAAAATCGATACTAATAAATTTACGTAACACAACAAAACGAAACGTCAAACATAAAAACAATGATAATCCCGATTCCACAGAGTTACACAATCGTACTGCAGTCGCATCAAGTGATGAACTTTTATAGTCACTTTTTATAAACTAGTTGTATTTAATTATTTTTCTAGAAAAGCATATGTATCGACTGCATAGTTTTATGTTCAGAAGTGTCTTGTATAAATTCTCATCCATTGCTTACACTGCTACACTTGAACACAACAAAATAGTTAGCTTGGTAATTAGCTCGAGTACACAGTTTGTTCATTTTATTGAATTACCTTTGGAAGTAATTAGTTATGAGGCTACTGTACTACTTGTATTGCAATGCAAACCAGTGGCTTGTGAATCATATGTTTTTTTTTTAATATTACATTACATCATAATTACTTAATTTCAGTTTTCTATTTTACTGGTGTTATTTAGGCTAGTAGGTGTTATTTTTCTCAAGATTACTAGTTTATTGTTGTCTGAATTATTCAAAGATAATTAATACTGCACTATAATTATCCCATATTCAGATTATTCCATCTTTTTTTAATAGTTATGCTGCCAAACTGCTTGATTAGTATTTACTGTTTACTTTTATTTTTGTACTGAAGCATAGATAAGCGCCACATTCTCAGTGAGAACTCTCTCAATCAGTCTTACAACTATCAAAATTAATTGACTGATAATGTCACAACAAGATTAGAATATTTTCAAGAGCATCCCAATGAAAATGTGTCGCAGTTTTACTGTTGCAATATTTGTAAACTTACTCTCATATCCAGCCGTCCACGCCCAGAGCGACACCATCGCCAGCAGCCAGTGGTACATGAGCCCTTCAATCCTCCAATACAGGGGCGCAAAAAAGGGTCTGACGAGACGCAGAGCCATCATCCACACTACGTAAGCGGGGACGCAGTATAAGTTGTTCACGACCGCGAATGTCGTACGCGCCGCGACCCTCACGTAGCGGCTGAAACAGCAGGGCCGTTCGGTTGGTGACCGTCTCGCCTCGCCACAATCCTCAAGGTCAGGCGGACAACATGGATAGGTGATATGGAAAGTAAGGTGTGAGAGACTAGTGCCGAGGCGAGACGGTACCGCGTACTCCCTGCTGACAGCTGCCAAGCGTTGGGCTTTCGTCGGGCGTGAACCATGGCGCTGCGCCGCCGTCACAAATGAAACACACGCGTACATTCGACGATATTTATTAATGGAATCGTTTCACCGGTTCACTGTCGGTTATTTCGTTAATAACACTGCGAGTACAAATTTAAAAATCACCCGTTGGCGAGCGACGGCACGCTCGCCGGCGAGCTTACATGCGATTTCGTTTGCGACACACATTTTACACCGATCGACGTAACATTAACTCGTACGACGCGAGCACACATAGACAGACATACACAATTATTTATTTTTTAGTTTACGATGCTGCATACTGTGGCACGACCGCGGCCGGTCGCGTTCGTCGTGTAAAACAATACAAAGTTCATTATATAAAATTAAAAAACGACATCGGACCGCTGAAATTATACAAAAATTACAATATTTAAGACTGTACACTATCTAATATATACAATAGTTGCCAGCGTAGATATGTGCGGGGGCAGTATATACAGGGCGGTGGGTAGTTAGCCGTCGACGGCGCTCACACGTCATAGTTGTGCGCCATGAGGCCGTGAACTTGCTCGAGGCGGTACGCGAGCCTCTGCTTCTGCGAGAACTCGTCCTCCTCGAGCGTCACCATCAACTGCTCGTTGTACTTAACCGCATACGCGTATAGCTCATTCAGCGCGCAGTTCGTGTTGAACTCTTTCGTGTGGAGGCGCGATTCCTCCGCTAGCATCGCGTTCATATCCTGATCGGATATCGCCGGCATCAACTTTATATCCGCGTAATACCGCTCCACCCACTCTTTGTACACCGGAATATCTTTCGCGTAAAGAAGCTTCGAGGAAGGCGAGTCCTTCCCGAGGATGTGGTCGGACGTAGAGCAAGAGTCCATAAACGTTTGCGCGATCACCGATAAGCAAGAGTCCACCGTGTTGGATTTGTGAACGTCGAAAACGAAATTGGGATTTTTAATTAAATTAACCCAAAAACGAAGCGGGAGCGAATTGCTTTTCCAAGTGTGAACTACTTCCGGATCCGATATCGCGTGTTGAAGCGCCTGATCGTCGAGGAAGTCGAACATGTATTTGATAGCAAGCGGCAGCGCCGAGCCGCGGTGCGCTGTGCTGAAAATAGTTTCGAATAAGTCATCGACAAACTTCTGTAGCGTACCCTTAGTGGCGAGGAGACGCGTGAGATATATTTCAGAGACCATTTTATTCCCGCGCTCGCCCTCCTTGTGTGTGTCACCGTCGTGATGCCTAACGAGATGCCAGTATTTAAAGCCACCGCCGTGTTCGTACTTAAGCGGACTGGCGGGTGGGCTAGCCGAGCCGTATTTACCTCTATTCAGAGTCTCATAAGTGTGCGACTTGTCGTTTTTCTCCATGTTAGATAAATTATAAACGGAGCTCTGCTTGGCAACTAGACTGAGACAAGCACAGTCGGGTACGCGGTAGTGATTAAGGGTGTTCAGCTTGCGCCATTCCCCTTCGCATTTAGTAGTGCTGTCCTCGTCATACAAAATTAATCGACCGCAAGCGCCCGTGCGCCACTCCAAGTCTAACTCGTCACGGCTCGGCCTTTGCGAGTACGGTGTAGCGCGGTAAATAGCGTCTAAGCATTTCTCCTTTACTTGACTAATCGTATCACAGTCGAGAACTTTAACTTGGACGTTTTCCGTGGTCGCCTCTAAGCCGCTCACGAAGATCGTTTGTTGAGATATCGATACGCTCACGGACATCGGTTTGAAATCTATCGACTGCCTAATTAGTTTCTCTTCGCTGAGAGAATAGCGCGCTTCGGAGGTAATAGCGTCCACCGGTCCCTTATCTACCTGACCTTTCATCGACCTGAACAAAAGGAAAAGAGGTTCGCCGGCGCATTCACGTAGGAATTTATACAAAAGGAAAGTGAACCAAGCGCTCAGCATTTTTTCGGCAACGCTCTCTGTACGCCTTAACAATAATTTTGGATGACTTTTTCCTTCCATGCACTTTTCTATTAACTCCGCTAGTAGCGTCTTTAAAACATCAGTACAATATTCCATTTTACTTTGTAAAGTTACCATAATAAGAGAAGCTACATTAACACGATCGCGCATTGAAAAATATCTATTGCTTTCTAAAGTACGAATAAATAATAATAGGAATGTTTTATTCATAATTAACTGTCCGAACATTTTCAGACCTTTCTCTTTTCTAATAAGCTCTGGACGTTCCCATTGCAGGACGGCGTGATCGTCGATGTTCGGGAACAATATCTTCATTGCGTAGGTGCGGTAGTCCAAGAACGGTATACCGCCAGTAACGTCTCCCGCCAGATCGGTCATTTCAGTCTGAAGTTCGGCGAACGCTTCCTTGCATTCGGCCGCTACCCTTAATTCTAAAATATCCATTTGCTCCTGCATGTTCTTTAATACCCTAATATTTTCAGTTGATTTTCTCCTATACATAACTAGAAACATGACAAATACTAATATTAGTATTACTACGCTGGCACTAACACCGAATAATACTGGCTTCCCGATGGCCGCCTGGAGGCCGGCCTGAGAGGAATAAGATAGTTTGCCGATCTTGTACGTGAGGGCACGACCAACCCTCACGACGACCTCCGGTGAATCCACGCCGTCTGGCAACTCGTCACGCGACGGCGGCCGACAAGTCAACTGGTGCCTCGACAACGAGGTAACGTTACACCAGCTCTCGCCTATACGTACTTCAACATCGCTCTCCGTACAAGCCCTATCCAAATTCTGCCCATTGATAGTCAAATATTCCGATTTATAATATTTAACATCCTCATCGAACTTCTCGTAGATTGGATCCGGATAGAGTAAGAACGCGTCGCCCGTCTTACTCGTCAAATTTTGCACGCTTTGTACGTCGTCCATATTGAAACCGTATTCCAATTCTAGAGGCCTGTCCGGATCTAGATTAAGACCCGCGCTCTCAATCCCGGGGGACTCGCAAATCAGATGAGTCTGAATTTGAAACTCGACTCTATGGCAAGGAGCAATATATGGCCGGTTGTCGTGATAAACATATATTTGCGGGAACTGAATGGAATGGAAGTTACGGCCCATTACTTTGATGTTTATCCCTCCGGATGGGATGCCTTTGGGTTGTTTACGCTGAGATGCTAACGGCGGGCCCGATTCGACGGACACTACAACAGGGTCTTCTATATACTCAAACTTTTCACGTTCCAATGTTCGCATTCCCGTGTCGAAACGCATCCGTAGCGTACCCATTTTAAGTTGATAAGAATGACTCGTACGGCAAACTGCCTCCTCGTGAGACACGGAAAGAATTGCGCACGGCAAGTCATCGATAAAAGCCTGAATATTGTTTCCGGCGTTTAAATATTCGCCTGTGATACGCAATTTAGTTCCGCCTGATTGTGGACCGTATTTGGGTTGAATAGAATTTATTTTCGGATTGACGAAGGCATAGTGATGTTTCGATTCTCCACGATAGTCCGCAACTCTGACAACTACGGGTCCGTCTCGCGGGACCTCCTCGCCCGGTCCGTCGACAGTGCAAACGATACGCCTCGTTTTCACGTACAATGCGACTATTGGCTGACATTTAATACCGGCTATGGTGACGCCATTATAGATATCGGATATATTGCGACCCAGATTTATTCCTTCGATAGTAATGTTTGTGCCACCGTCCCACGGGCCTAGTTGCGGTCTAAAAGAATGGATTTCTGGGTTGGGACACGTCTGAGTTCGATTCAACCATACGCTGGGGGCACCACACTGTTCCTGTACTTCGCATCGATCCGAACCTTGACACCAGCCGCACCCGAATTTTTCGGGTAAAGCCAAACAAATCCCACAGTTATCTGCCATATCGCTACAACGGTATATTAGTATGTGTGTGTTATCCGGATTATCTAACGGCTTAGATCCTCCCCATATTACAGCAAAAGAGGCAGTTATGTTCGGAGCGCGCGATGTATAAGTAAATTCGACGGGTTCACAATAAATTGTATCGGCGAGAAGCTGAGCATTTACGTGGGTTACTCGTCCCTCGATATTAAACTGGCATACGAACCTCGTTTGGACTATAAATTGGCCTATTATATGAACTTTTACTTTTATTGCCTTTTTAACGCCGGATGGGACTAGAATTTCATTCGTACCGTCGGAAGTGGAATTAATCGTTGGACAAAAACCGGGACCGGAGCGATAGCTGGGACCGATTCTACTGACACCAGTTACGAGAATGTCGTTTCGACAGTTTTCGGCCGTGTCGTGGGTGCAACGGTGACCGTCTACGCACCAATCGCATGGGAAAAACGAACTTACGCATTGAGTACAAGAGCTATACGTGTTACAGTCAAAGAAAGTGAAATTAGTCGCTACAAAATCAGGCCCCTGGGTTGTCCGCACGGACAGTTTAGCTGTGAAATGATGCTGACCAGCAGGAATAGGCGGCAACGTGTCAGTACGCGGAGTTGTACAATTTACACCATACGGTTTCCTAGTAGCATTTGTTATAAGAGTACGATCCAAAGCTGTAAATGCGCATAAGAACTGCCCGTTCAGAGTGGGCAAGTTTTCTATATGTAAATCTAGAGTCCTAGCGGTCGTTCGTTGCAATTGATTCGGTGTTACTTGAGTAATGGTTGTGCACCGCCCACTGCGATACGAGATCCAATATAAGGGATCTTTAGCTGCGTCCTGACAGTCCGATCGGAGGCTACACTTATTCTCTAAGGAACACCAACCACAGTAAGGGTCTTTGGCGCCGAGACATGTTAAACAAGATTTGTACACGCTACACTCTTGAACTTTCACTTTGGACACTTTGCGCTCAGTCATAACGTATAAATGCATCAATTGAGTATCGAAGAATAAGTCTTTGTTCACTGGGGAGCGCTCGTCGACCACGATGTCCCCATACTCGAACGCTGAAGTGGCACTTTCGACAACTATCTTCTTAAGATGTCCCTCTGCCGTGCCTGCGAAGACCACAGTATAGTCTCCAGTCGCCGTCGCCGCTACCGCAGTAAGTCTCTTTTTAAATATTGCCACAGGCACTGCCTCTACCGGCTGCTCGCCTCCCAAAGGCGTATTGACATCCAAACCGCAGAAGTCTTCGCTTATTGATTGTAATTTCGTACCAATACAAGCATGAGACGGTGAAATGAAGTCCAGGCCACGCGAGCCATTTCCACTGAAGCAGGTCTTAATATTTTGCATAAATTTCCGCCTGATAGCTTTGAGGGAATAAACACAAAGCGCCGACAGATCGGACGGCGTATTCGTGTTTATAGATTCGCTTTGGCTAAAAGCAGCGAATAAAACGTCGTGTTGTGCCGTTATTCCGAGTTCAGAAGCAAGCACAGAGCCTGCTTTTCCTACAAAAGCCGCCTGGACAAGATTGTAGCCGAAGTTGCCTCCACCCTCTCCTGTACATGACATCGGTATCTCGGTGTAGGAGTAATAGTTTTCGTCATCATGGCATACACGAACCAATTTACTGTAATAGGTATCGGAGCCTACTCCACGCAGCTGAGTCGTCAAAAAATAACTAAAGCCTTCAGAGCTGAAGCCGTATACATAGTTTATAGGGTATCGTTCTCTAGATAAAGAATTGACGAACATTCTAGTGCCTGTTGTGACTGCCGTTCTGGCTATCATGAAGAGTCGATCATCCTCTAAAGAGCGACTGCTCACGGTGGGCACTTCAGAACGGTAGGGGGAATTGCCCGTAAAAGTGACGCCGACGTACATGACCTGTGTCATGGGTGGATTGGGTGGTCCGGGAGCGATGAAAGCCACCGTCGAAGCACTAGCGTTATTCGCGACCACTGGTTCACGGACCTCGCGCACATCGTGAGAAATGTTATTCAAATTCCGCACAGAGCACAACCCTTGCAGCACCGAGCCGCACGTTATCAGCCGACTGGTGGCGTAATCTATAACAAGCGCCTTGTTTACATTGTCCGTAGGCTTCTTCACGAAGTTCGGCGGGCAGTCGAAGGTGCATAGCGCCGAGTCGTTGACGGGCCCGGTGACGATCGACTGCGCGACCTCCAGATCCGGGGACAGCTGGTAGATCCTGTTGACGGCGCCGACGTACACGCGGCCAGTGTTCCGGTCGACAACCAGGTGGTTGAACAGTGACGTCGGGGCGGCTTGCGGGTCGGAGAAGGACCGCACGACGTCGTGGGAGGCGCGCGCGGCGGCGCTGACGGCCGCCAGGGCCAAGAGCACGCGCCACATGACGCGGGCGCATCGGGCCGCCCGCCTACCGCCGCCGCCCGCGTGCTTCCCCGCCCGCCCATCTGCAACGCGACACACGTCAGCCGCACTGCCACCGCCCGTTCCCATCGCACCGCGCCGCTCGCCCACGACGACCGCCTAACTCGGACGCGCCACGACACCGCCAGGCTAGCCGGATTGCTTTGCGAGAGGTCAGCCTCACTGATCTGATAGCAGCGTTTAGGCGGACATGTTACAGGCGCGCTAGGAGAGGCCCAGTGCGATCGGAGCGAGTTTACGAGACGGGACGCACAATCACCGTCTTCCTATCTGCTGTACTAACCTATGAGACGTACTAAACTGTACTGGGATATTAAGGAGCGTATCGGAGCGCTTAAGCCCGGAAGCTTTTAATCATCGCGATCAAAAATAGGTTAGTACCGGGGAAGAACGGGAATCGGCGGCCCCGACGCGGACAGTGCATTGAATGATTTACACACCCGACGAAAGCCTCATTATAATGGGGAGTAACATAAAAATCATACAACTTGGCATGCTGTTCGATACGAGGGAGCAAACGTGGTAGCGCAACGGGAAATAAAAATAAAAAATAAATAACTAAATATTCGAAATAAACTGAACACATTGACGACATCGAATCTATACTTACAGGATAGCCATGACAGAATTAGATCGGACGGGCTTCGAAATGACGGTCTACTTGATCATACGCGTGTATGGGAGCGCACTTTCATAATGCGAGGACCGCACCGTTGTTTTCTTGTCGAGACCTGTAACAACAAACATTACGTGTTTAAAGCCCGTCTGGGCTCGATCGATCTTCTTTCATTGCAACGCGATGTATGTCACCGTACACGAATGACTTGTGCAATCTACAGATAAATTAACACATAATATACAGTCTGTTAAATCCTATATTAGTTTTGTTTTTAATATTGCAAACCAATTTCAGAGTTTTATAACTATTTGTAACTCGAATCAGTACTATAAATTGGCCGTAACGGCCCGTACCCCATCTACCAGCATAAATGTTCAAAACTCGATAAATCCGATTCGATAACCCCAATGTCGGCTCCACACAACGCCGCACGAGCGCGACCGGTCGTTTGGTCTTGATTGCATTCCCTGCCTCCACCCACTCGCTCGTCATTCGATGTTATCTACTACCTACGCACGCGTACAAACGAAAATTATCATCACATTGTCTCTAACATCCCAAAAACCTTACATTGATAATATTTGGACGATGCTTGGATCTACTTCTTTGACGGAGAACGGAAAAGAAAGTCAGCCATTACCGCGCACGCGATTCGATAGACGGAAGCCATTCCAAACGCCACGCATTGCTGAACGAATTGTAGTATTACTAACACTAAAACTTACCTTATGTAATACAAAGCTCTCAAAAACAATCCTTTGGCATCCAGAAGTGGTTGACAAAAAACGAATAAATCACTTAATTGCACTTCACAATATTTTCTTTGTAATGATTTCACTGTAATTTTTAACGATAACACAACACCACTATTGACTGTCTTTATCACAACATTATTTGTATATTATAAACTTTGTGAAATAAGCTAAGCCCGTCCCAAGGAATAAAATGTCCCGTTTGCACAGAGTCCACGACAAGAGCATCAGTCTTCGAACATCGCCGTGGAATGATTAGAGTTTCACTTTTCGAACGAGTCTAGGCGTGACTGAACCGAGAAAAGCCGAACGCATCCGAATCGAAAAAAGTACATAATTTCTTCACTAGAGGCAGCACAGTAGAATGCTGCGTTCATAAATACTTGACTCATTTTGGAGTCATTCAAAAATATATTTTTAGTATAGAACAAAGTAAAATAATAAAAATTGTGTTTTTTAAAAAAATGAACTTTTAATAATTAAGAACTGAAAAGTAAAAGCAAAATAAAACAAACATTTATTGTTATCAATCTTCACTCATATCGTAACTTCATATTATACATAGAAAAGAAAACTAATTTAAGATACATTTTTGAGGAAATCAAATTATGAATTTCTTTATATTTAATAAATTACAAATAATTGATTATTTTTTTAGGATTTTTGATATCATCGTTGACCTCTCAGAGTTAACTCTCTCTCTCTCTAAAAAAAGTAAAAACAACCATGTGTAAAATTTAAGGGCATTGGATATTGCAGTATTTTACTATTTATAAAGAGTTTATCTTGTGTGTTGTGCGCAGTGTCTCCATGTACATGGTAATTACCGTAGATGCACCGTAATTTGGTCTTAACCTACCGTCAAGGTACTATGGCATTACCGTGTCATATGTCACTGTAATACCATTGTATACCGTAATGTGTTCAAATGCCGAGTGCGAGTACATTTTCAGCCAAGTCAATGATATAAAAACGAAAAAGAAGTAAACTTTTAACCAAAACACTTGAAGGAAATATTTTTCAATCAACAATCAATGAAAAAATATAGCAAAAACTGTATTAATTTCAGGCCTGCTAACGATATCTAACTAAAATAAATAAATACTAGGAGAGTCAGATTAAAAAAAAATTTTGTAATTAATTAAAAGCAAATATATTTGGACTTGATTTTGTTCATAATGTTGTATTTTATTATAGTTAATCTACCGTAATTTGATCTAGAAACACCGTATTTTTACCCTTGCCACACGGTAACTCTCGATTTCCGTATGGAGACACTGGTTGTGCGTGTCAGTAAGTAGTCGCGATAAAATGGCTGTACAATTTTGATGCCACATATACTACTACCAGATATTTATGCGATGTTTGCTTTAATAATTTTTTTCTACTAACTTTGTTTTAAGTTTAACTTGTTTTATGTTTCTGTTAGCTTGCTACCTACAATGTAAACATATTAAAATTATACAAACATTTAATTGGATTGAATTGAATCTATAATAAATAAGTAATAAACGTGAATCATTGAGTGAGTAAGGCCTAAAACTACTTTTTTGTTAATTCGGTTCTGGTTTTGATTTATTTCGTTCCTTTTTTGAAACTTACAATTATCAAATTAATTTTAATTGAAATGTGATCGCTATAAAAGTATACTATCAAGAAAGGACCAATTAAATCGTTGAACTTCACAATTTTCGATCTACTTATATAAAAGAAATATGTATTTAAAAATAATAAACATAAAGCGAAACGTAATACAATTGATAAAATTTACAGGTTTCATTTGATTCTTTCTTTATATTTGTTTCCGCCACAGACGGTTAACATCATTCGAATGTTTATATCAACCATTCTATTTTTATAGCTACTTACACCATTTGCTACTCCGAACGTTATTCTACTATAGAACTCTCTACCAAGAGAACATCGACATTGTTATACTTGTTAATTGTTTAGAAACAATTAAGGAAAGTCCCTTTCTGTGAATTTAATTTTCAGTAATAATAATTTCAGCTCTTTACACTATCTATTTCCTTTCTCTTTTACAATCTCATAATAATTATTGTATATTTAATTTAGTTCGAAAAAGAGGTATCTGCTGTTCAAAATATTCATTGTAAGATATTGTCTAAAAAATGTGTGGTTTATGTAACTTCTAGAACTACTTGAATTAATAAGAGCTTTTATTTCATTAATTGTTATCATTAACTACTTTTCATTTTTGAAGATAACAGCATCTTTCGACTGTCTTCAAAAATTAATAGCCGATTTTTGAAAACAGGCGAAAGAGAAAGCATTTACTGTGTTTTTCGAATTGTGGCAGACATTTTCCTTATTTGTTACACAATAATTGACACGTTTAATTTTTGCTGGACTATTTAGGAATATGCGAATATTTCTTCTTTAGAAAAAAAATCTATATTTTTGCCGTCTGTATTATTTTGTATTTTTAATTGCTGCATGAATTGTTGAAAATAGGAATATTGGTGCTAGCAAGTGGCAACATTGGTCATGTCAGGACATCAATGTCTTGGCCTAAAGGTCTAGATGCCAGGCCATAAACTCCAAAAAAAAAGACATCAATGTCATTGTCATTTGTCAGTCGGTCACAGTGAATTCAAAAACTGACTACGGAACGTCGAGCAGAAATTTCAATTCCATAAATTGAAAAAATACATAAAAATAAATCATGGCTGTGTCCATGTTTAAATTATCTTCTGTGTTGGTCAATTCGTCCAAAAATCTCCGATGTGTTGTCCGCCTTTTGGATAAGCATGATTTTTCTACTACAAGCATCAAAGCCGTAAGTTGCATAATCAGTACATTTTTGTAAATATGTCTTATTTACCTATGTTTTTTCTTAATCTCTACTTTATGGCTCCTCTAAATAGGATTCTGCCAATGTCAAGTCAGTCATGGAAGTGACAATAGTATTTACCTATATTACATACACAAATGCTCCTGAAGTCCGGATACATATTACCGGCTTATTGACTTACCTACAAAAGTTATTATAAGGTTATACACATAAACCACAAAACCAAAAAAGTGTTTCTGTTTTAGCCACATGAGTATCTCTCGCATATCACTGTGTCATGGATATAGTATTTTTATGAAAGTAATGTATATTTTTTCCAATATACAACAGTAGCATTTAATTTGTCTGTAGACCATCTAACAAAAATATTTTCATTATCATCATGTACCCAACAGATTGCTATAATCATTCTGATCTACATGCATCTCCTTGTCTTAGCCTGTTTCCACAACTCAAAATAGCAACAGGAATCAAGGTTATAGTCAACTTGGCTCTTCAATATATCCTAGCAATTTCTCGCATCAATCATGCATCAATTTACCGCTTCCTGACCTATTGGGCTATGTAAGCTACTACTGTACTGCTTCAAAAACTCATAGTGGTTTTTATAAAATTCTGTACATTATTAATGCATGTTAATACTGAATAGCACAACACACGAAAAGTAAAAAAGTTACAATCTTAATATAGTTGTCTACTGATTACAGGCTTTCTCAAATTTTTTAGAGGAGAATCATACACTCAGTCTGTATTATCAAAATAACTGCCTTTTATCAAGCTCCGGGAGTTATTTTCGTCTTTCTGTATGTCTGGGATAATCTTTGAACCGAATATGATAAAACCTCTCAAATATAGGAGAGCATTGCCAGAAGTGATTTAAACTATATTTTATCCCAAAACTTGGAAAATTATTTTGTGAAATGGAAAAATTTGTAAAGCAATATTCATTCATTGATTTCATTGATGATTATTTAAATAAAATCTAAATGACTCCACATTAATAGAACCCACCCAGACGAAACCCAGTTGAGTCGATAGTGTAAAATAATTTTTACAAAATTTTTATTTTATTTTTAAAAAATGCACCATGCTCAATGACCTCAATAGTGTCTCCCAATGAATAGGTCTTAGGATGAATATGGACAAAACAAAGATCATGTTTAATGTCCATGTCACACCTATGCCAGTAGTTGTTGGGAGCACTAATCTCGAAGTTGTTGACGAGTATGTTTGCTTAGGACAAATAGTCCGACTAGGTAAGTCCAACTTCGACCGAGAGGTCAATCAGCGGATTCAACTCGGCTGGGCAGAAACTACGACACTTCTTCTCGTCAGACACACCTCAAAACCTTAAAATGAAATTGTACAATCAGTGCGTGTTACCAGTGATGACTTACGGATCTGAGACGTGGTCCTCCACTGCTGGCCGTATGAGGAAGCTCAAGGTCGCTCCGCGAGCTATGGAGAGGGCTATGCTCGGGATTTCTCTGCGTGATAAACTTAAAAATGAGTATTTCCGCAGTAGAACCAGAGTAACCGACATAGTCCAACAGATTAGTAAGCTGAAGTGGCAGTGGGCTGGCCGTATAGCTCAAAGAACCGACAACCCATGGGGAAGAAAGGTTCTTGAGTGGCAGCCTCGTACCGGTAGGCGAAGTGTATGGCGACCCGCCACGAGATGGAGTGACAACCTGGTAAGACATGCAGGAAGTCGATGGATGCAGGTGGCTCAGGACCGTGCTTTGTGGCATTCCTTGGGGGAGGCCTATTTTCAGCAGTGGACTTTGAAAGGCTGTAATGATGAATGATGATGATGACGTTGTGAGGAAACCATGTAAGTTTAAGAAATAACAAATATTTCAAAGATATGTGAACTAATTCACACCAAAGGCCAGTGGCACTGTAGAGAGCAGCTTACTCTTCCATGCTCTATAACAAGACCCATGTGCAGAGACAATATAGAAGTCTCATTAGTCATTTGATTTCTATTTAAACCATGCCTAGCACAGGCAATAGGAGTATCTGTTGCAAATTAACAAAGCTTTTAGCATTTCTAGTATTCATTCAAAAATTGTTTGGAATATGATTTGAGAGGTCACCGAAAGCTAAAGCTAAGAAAGCTTTAAGAGGCTATACTACCTCAAATAGCTTAGCAGGATCCTCCGTTATGCTAAAAATTCTGAAGCATTAATTTTTAAATAAATATATATGGTAAAGTTGAGTATTAATGTAAAGTACTATGTTTGACGAAAACACGATTCCATAACATTTTCTTGATAGAAAAAAAATCCAAATTTACCTCCAAACCAAAGAATAAACTGCTGGTATTCAAGGCTCTTAAATAAAATTAGTTTTTACAGATTTTGTTGCATATATTAATTTATTTTCCCGACGTTTTAAGTACCTAACAGTACCCATGGGTTTGGACTGTAGTGTTCAACATCATAATGTCAGTTAACCATGGCTACCTTCAGATTAAAATTATTAATTTTTGGTCGGATCTATGCAGTATTATTTTAGATTATATTATCTTGTCAGTCTTGCAGTTGTATGCTTGTGTGGTGATTTCATTTTATTAATTATAAGATCCCAAGCTGATGGTAGTACCCATCCAACTTCTCTAATGAAATTCGGATATTTTCTTTCAGTAATTGATACACTTATCACTTAGCTGTGGTCGGCACTATTGTTGCATACATAATATATATACTGTTCTTTAAAAAAATACTCAAAATTCATCAAAATGCCTTTCTGTTCATTTTAACAAATTAATTCTAAACATACTGAAGTTTTATTGCAAAAAAGGGAAAAATGCGACTCAAGCCACGAAAAGAATTTGTGACATTTATGGACCTAAAGCAGTGTCAGAAAGAGTAGCCTAAAGTTGGTTCAAGCGTTTTCAGTCTGGGAATTTTGATATCAAAGATGCAACTCTCTCTGGTCTCCTACATATGGATAAAGTTGATGCCATTTTTTAAAAAGTAGAGCAATATCGGCATATAGTAGTTACAATATAGCCGAGGAATTGAGGATTGATCACAAAACAGTTTTGACCCATTTGAAAAAGTCTGGCTATACAAAAAAGCTTGATATTTAGTTACTACACGAGCTCACTTAAAGAAACCTAATGAATTGTGTACTCATTTGCATTCTCTGTTGAAACGTAATGAAACCGAACCATTTTTCAAAAAGGGTAGAGAGAAAGATAGACTGAAGCGAAACCCGGATTAACACGCAATAAGGTGATGCTGTGTGAATAGTGGAATTGGAAGGGTATCTTTTATTATGAGCATTTATCGCTGGGCAAACCCATCAATTCGGATCTCTACTGCCTATAACTAATGAGACTCGAGCAAGAAATTGAGAAAAACCGGCCGGAATTGATCAACAGAAAAAGAGTGGTCTTTCATCATGATAATGTCAGATCACCACACACATCTTTGGCCACTTAGCAAAATTTGAGAGAGCTTGGTTGGGAAGTATTAATGCATCCACCATATAGTCCCGACCTTGCACCCTCAGATTTTCACCTGTTTCGGTCTCTTCAGAATTCTTTGGGTAGTGTTAGATTAACATCAAGAGAGGCCTGTCAAAACTACTTGTCACATTTTTTTTAATCAAAAACTCCCAAGATTTCTACAACGGGTTTATGTATAAACTTTGAAAATAAAGTCTTGAATTTGTATATAAAATACGAAAAAACTTTTCCCCCAACCTAATATAATATTTGGTCATACAATATCATATCTTCTCTTTTTTGTTTAAATCAATATATATAATAAATGAATGAATGAATGACTTTATTTTCTCTTCACAATAGGTAAACTTAATGCTAAGTATTACAAAATTGTCAGACTGGTACCTAACTTGTGAGAGACTGGTGCCTGATGTAGGTATAAAAACCTATATTACGGGTCACCAGGGAATAAATATGTCCAACAAAGTAATTTTCTATAAATCAACTAGCACTTGTAATAAACTAATATGTAATTTTAGAATATGCAAAATCAATTTTTTCTTCACAGTATTTTTTTTTTAGAAAAATAATATAACTATTAATATTAATGAAGTTGTTATAACTTAATTTGCTTAATTACTAGAGTTATAAAAACTACATGATGGATACGCGAGTGTTCAGGGGTGCTGACCTGGGAACGGATCACTATCTAGTGATTACTAGATTTAGGGGTCTGTTCGCGGGTTGGCGCTACCGGACAGCGGTAACAGAACCACAGTCGGTCTGTCGCATCCGAAGCTGGAAGCTTCAGGAAGCGAATACTAGGGACAAATATCATGCGAGGGTAGCCGAAAAGCTTGACACCATCGATGGCAGAAAAGAATGTGTGGAAAGAACATGGCAGAACCTTAGGGATGGAATGGTAAGTGCAGCGGAAGAAGTGTGTGGAACGATAAAAAGAGGTAGTAGTAAAAGAAGAGATGCATGGTGGAATGATGAAGTGAAAGAAGCTGTAAAGAAGAAGAAGAAAGCATGGTTAGACTACTTGGCCTCTAGTAATGATAAGGATATGAGAGAGAAGATGAAGGAAAGATATAAGCTGCAGAAAGTTCACACGAAAGCTGAGGAAGTGCGTAAAAGGTGTAGAATGGAAGCGGACGAAAGGTTGTCGCACAACTTTAAGGAGAACTCCAAACTCTTCTGGAAAGAGTTTGGAAGGACCCGAAGTGGTGCGACGGCCTTAAGAATGAACAAAGTGCTTTCGAGAACCAATGACGTCTTCTCAGAAAAATCGGACGTCATGCAGCGATGGAGCGAATTTTATAGAGAAATGTATGCGTGTGATGATCTTAGTGAGGGATCCGGGGGTGACGCCGTGATTGGTACGCCAGACCCGGACCTCGATGACACTGAGGTCATCAGTATGAAAGAGATTGAACGTGCGATTCGAAGTTTGAAATGTGGTAAGGCTGCGGGACTAGACAGAGTTACTGCTGAAATGGTCAAGTATGGTGGGCCTCGCGTCTGG